AAACAAAATAGAAAAATATTGAAAATATTCGAAAAGCAAAGTCTGTGAATTCAGACCTTGTGTATATAATAAAACAGTTATTCCACTCACTTTCGTCGAATATGAGCGATAGCCGATTCGGCGCTACGCGCCTCATCGGCTATCAGCTCATATTCGACTCGAGTTCGTAGAATAACTGTTAAATAAATATACAGACAATAGAAGTGTTATTCAGGTTGTTTCCTGGCTGGCTGTAGATTGTATTAATTATACTCCACACCTTATCTTGATCTTAATTAAAAGAACTGTTCCAAAATGTCCAGCATTAATTTGGTACTCAGTTTGTGATTTTGTCAATTCAGACTCAGAGCCTTGAAGTTGAAACGAGTTTGAATATTTACGTAATATCTTCGTATAAAACTGTCACCTGACTCACCTTCACCACGAAAGAAATGGCCAAAAACTAACTGTACCAACGGCATTTTTCTCCTTCAAATTTATAACCCTTTCAGTTGTATGTTTCTCGCGCATGAGCATATTCGACTGGATATCATCTTTAAGTTTGACAAAAAACTGATTTATTTAAGCGCAGTAATTATTTCGCGACGAAACATGAGAACAATGACAACTGTAATATAATCTCCTATTGTTTTGATACAGGCCATGCACTAAACGCCGTCACGTCAGAGGCGTAGCCAGGATTTTCGGTCAGAGGGGGCCGGCAAAAACCCAGGTGGGGCCAAGTCGCCAGTGACTCGAGACGCAAAGTTCGCGGAAGAAAGAATTTTGCGGACCACAGAACATTTTAAATATCCCCCCTCCCCCCCCCCCCCCCCCCCCGTCGACAATTTTTCGCTAAAAAATTTTTCTGAACAATAACATTACAATTGCTTTCGTAGCACTTTTCCCGATTTCCGTAACACTTTTTCCGATGCTTCACCACGAAGATTCAGACAACATTAGAGAGTTTGAGCAAGAGAACGAAGTCGGACGACGACGACGCAAACTTTTTTTCCGTAGACAGTCGGACTCCTCATTGACAGTCGGACGCATCATTCATCCGCGTTCAGGCCTCCGCGCGTTATCAATGGATCCCTTCGTACCCTGCGTAACCCAACGCTCTTCCGATCTATATATCCATCACTCCACGTTGTTCTTCTTCGACCACGTGGACCGTGGTTGACAATTTTTGCCTGTCTTGCACATTATCTTACGCATTCTGAGTTTAGGGTCAGGCGTGAAGACAGATTGGAGATTTATGTCTACAGTAGCTGTTTATGAATGCTGACCCAATTCCTTACCCTGATCAGGACAAAACAGCGAGACATGAATCCATAGAGAGTCTTCGTTCTTCTGCCTTCGTTCACAACGAAAAATTCGCAAAAATTTTGGCAAAATTCGCTGTGAACTTCTTTCCGAACGAAGGCAGAAGGACGAAGACGAGATATAGTTTCATGTTTCGCTGTTTTTTTTCTGGGTCAGGGCAAGAATTATGGTCAGTATGCATAAACAGCGAAACATGGGAAGGCACGTTGAGCAACCATCAGTGACGTCCAACCAAGTATGCGCAAGATAATGTGCAGACGGCAAACATTGGCAAGTACGCATTCGTCTTCGTACTTCATTGTCTTGCTCTAGCTCTCTATTGACAATTTTCCGACGGGTCTTAATTTTCCGACTGGTCTCCCACACCCCTCCCCTCCGGCCAAGGCGCCACTGCCGAGCCCGCATTAAAAATTCACTTGTAAAAAAACCCAGATTGGTTTAAACTTCATCAAACCCTCATTTAATTCATATTGAAATAATTAGGGTTAGAAAAGGTATGTGTTTCAAGCTGTGTGCCGCAAATAAGCGAACAAGTGATTTTAGGTTTCACACCGATGCCCAGTAAAGCATATATTCTACAGAATTTTTGCATTATTGACAGCATGAAGCTATATAATCAAGGATTCCCTTTTTTATACAATACATTTTATCAGGGGCCCCCCAAAATTATGCCAGGGGGGCCTAAAATTTTGCCAGGGGGGGGGGCGGGCCCCCTGGCCCCAGCCCTGGCTACGCCTCTGTGTCACGTGACATTATCCCCTTTGTTCCTCAACATATTTTGCCGCCGGCACCGAATCCCTTTGAAGTTTGCCGGCTAGCCAAACCATATTATTTTACTAACTGTGATTTATGTAAAAAATAGCTAATTTTCTCTGAAGCATAAAATGTTTCAGTCCATCCACACGAGTTACGCGTGTGAGAGAGACTTGAGCCATTCGTTTTGAACTGTCATCCATCAAAATTATGTCAATTGGATGGCAACATTTGGAATATGGAGAACAGGATCGAAATATCAGTACTAAACGATAGCCACTTACTTTATTTTCGTTCACTGTAACCACTAAAGTATCACTAATTTCACCAATTTTCCTCGCCAAGGCCGACTGCATGCGATGCCTTATTAGAGTTTTCATCTTGAACACGACTGGATGGTGTACTTCGAGTTTGATTCAATTTTTAAAGATAATTTTGGCTTAGTTTTCCCCGCTTCTATACGGCATGTTGATTCCCTTGAAATCTACGTTTCCTTCTTCATGATCTTGCAATTTTGTAAACAGAATTAATGACTTGTAAAATAATCTTGTAAAGAAGCTTTTAAAAATTGCTGTTTAAAGATGGCCGCCGAAGCGATGATATTGGGAATTTGTAACATGCAATAAAAGGGTAATTTAATTGGGAATTGTAACATGCAATAAAAGAGTAACAAAACAAAGTACAGATAGGGAGGGGTAGACTTGCTCCAAGTCTCTCTTTCATTGTCATATAGTATCGATCCACTATAGTGTACATTACATGACGTAGTACGGAGGGGCGGAGCGAGAAAGAGAGACTTGTCAACTTCGGAAAATCTCGGTTCAAAACTGAACCGAAAATGCAAGACTTGCTTTAATTGTTTTTAGACCATGGGCCGACCGCAAGAAATGTGAATTTTTCATGCGCCCATCGAGGAACCAAATAATTTTTTAAATAACGCGTTGCCTGCATACTAAACATGAAAATTAGCCGGTATGTCAATCTCTGGACTTGCACATTGAGCAGAAATTCGGCTTTATTTGTTCGAATAATTTTGTCGGCCTTGAAGTGAAATCAACACCATGTTTTTAAGTAGCGGCCAATCAGGAAGCAAGGAATTTAACACCTGGCCAATCACGGGTTGTTATCGAAAGCTTCTTTGTCTCTTGTAAACAATGGCGGCTGATGCAAATCGGTCGTCGAAGAGAAGAGATTTTTGTGCAATGCATGTCATTAAAAGTGCGAAGCAAAAGCTTACTTCATTTACATATACGTCATGGTGTAAGTTTGTATCATTCGCGGTGAAATGGAGAAAATTACAATGTAAAGAGGGTGAAATAGCGATCGAAGCGGCGGCGAATCTGGGCTTGAGATTCGATGACTTGCCATCAGGTGTTGACTTTGTCGAAACCAACAGTTCGTCAGACGGTTTTTTACCCATACCAGCCTATTGCAAGTTCCATCGAGATTGCTACAACCGATTTTGCAATACTCTGATGCTTGGCAGAGAAGAAAAGAGGCAATATATTCGAGACGAACAAGCTGGCGAAACAGGTTAGTATAGCAGTCCGTTTTGAAACCTTATACACTAATATTTATAAGCTAATTTTTACCTCGGACTGTAGTAAAACTACTGTATGAGCAAATGTGAGTTTTCTTTGCTATAATATAATCAAGTGATGTGCTGTATAGAAGGGCAAGGAGGGTTTTAGAGTATTTATTACAGAAGTAACATCTCGAATGATTGGTGCCATTTTTATGGGTAGAATCTTCGATAAAATGTCTGTGTGAATGTGATAGACTACCTGTAAAATATAGAGAAAACTTAGGCGTTTTGAGCGAAGGTTCTTCGTCGGGAAGTTAGTATATTTTCCAGTAGTCTATCACATTCACACAGAAGTTTTATTTACATAAGTTGTCAGTTAGCAAGGCTTCAAGGTCTTGCTTGGAGTGTCATTTAAAGTTTGTTTTATTTTTTGAGATGAGAGACAAAAAATATCTCCTTTTCAGACTACTTGAAATATGTAATTCCCAACTTGAGCAGTTAATGTGCTTGACTTTTCCCTTGACAAAGAAAATTGGAAATTGTATGGCTTGTTATGAACTAGCCAATAGAATTGAAACTGCCACCCCTGGTTCTGGGAAATAGTGGGGGTTTGCAAGCAAATGGCATCAAAAATACTTTAAGCAAATGGCATCGAAACACCCAGGCCTTGGGAGACACTTTTGGGACTATCTACAGTCCTCGGTGAATGCTTGTGAGTCAAACCATTGTATTTTTACCTCAAATTTTGTATTTTGGTGACTGCTAGCTCCATGAGGAGTATAATTGTCAGGCGTTAGACAAAGCAAATACTAAAGTAGGGCGCATTGCGTGTTAAAGGGTTTTATTAAGCCAGTTCATTAGGCATAGTAAAAATGTCTGGTGTTAGGTAGGCTAAATTGGAAAAGTAGGGATGTTTGCCTGATTAAAGACTATGCATTATTTCTTCTATTATCTACCTCAACGATGTCAGGTCTTCAGCTTTTAGACTCGATGTCCTGCCAAGCACAAATAGATATCCAGCTGAAGTTTGGTTGACAATATTTAACAATTAGGGAGAATTACAGACCAGGAAATAGTTCTAGCCTTTTTTGGATCCTAGGCCAGGGGGGGGGGATATTTCTTTGAAAACACTGTTATCAAATTTAGGCTGGGGGGTCATTTTGTCTGAAAACACTGTCATAAA